GGGGCTCCTGGCCTTACTACTAGGAGCAAGAAGCTACTAGGGGCTCCCAAACCCCAGGGTTTCAGGTCCGATTGCGGGAAGAAGGGTGAATGCCACGAGCCGGCGCCTGCAACATCCGAATCAGATCATCCCACACCATTGTACGTATAGATTAAAAAAAGATGTCCCTTTAACGCTTTTTACTATGACTCAATACATGGCCATCGCTACTAGGGTGGAGGCCATTGCTAGTAGGTTGGAGTAGGTAACAGTTCGGATAGTTGGACCCTCCTGAGTTCGGCTCAGTTCGGCTCCGCCCAGGCGTTGCGTCTGCTTTGGCACTGTGGGAACTCCACGCAGGGCCGAGTGGAAGCCATCCAGGCGAGTGGCGAGACATGGCAAGACATGGCGAGACATCGTGTTGGTGCCAAAGGCGTATTTATTGAAACATGATGTGGTGTCCTGGTTGGGAAGAGGTGTCCTTCCTTTAGCAGGTGCATGCCAATGGTGGTGTGATTTTCTTGGGTAGATGGGTCGACCATAAGCTCCACGGGTGATTGGATGAGCTTCGGGTCGTTCATTCTTTCGTGAAGAACGACACTGTCTTGGTCTTGAAATGCAAACTGCTTTGCGTCATCACATCCAAACTGAACTTGGCTATGGCCTGGAAGCGAGTGGGATCAACTCTTTTTTTGCATCGCAACTGGACACTGCTAGGCACAGTAGTTGGAAAGATTTGTTGAGACACAGAGAATGGGAAGCCATTCAAATAATCCATGTGACTTTGAGTTCTGTCAATCAGAGGTCGAATGGCTTCCCGGATGAGCCAGGAATTTCGTGAATGCGAACGGTTCATGTGATGGTCATCCGAAGAAAATGCGAAACCGTGTTCGTTGGGCCGACGATGGAGCGAGTCGGGGAGCAGCCATGATGTGGCGTTTTTGTTGGGGACCGATGAGGACGTGTCACATCACGCGGCGTGGTGGCGTACCTCCCCTCGCGAGCGTGGTTGGCTCGAAGCGAGCGTGTTTTTTTTCACGATGCCCTCTGTTTTTGAGGTGAGAAAGTCCTCAGTCCCATCTCATGCCAAGGCCAATGGAGCTGCATGTGCCGGGAGCCCGAACATCACGGTCGATCTGGTCCTGTCGGCCAGTGTCATCTCTTTGTAAAAAGAGCAGGGACGCAACTAATTTACTCGTTCTTCGAGTGCCTGGAGTCTATTTCAGACTGCAAAAAATGAAGGCCTGCGATCTACAACATGTTCACACTCCATCTTTGATGCGTTCGGCACCGTTGCGTTGCATCGGACCTGCGTTGAAGGCCTCTCTCCGAAACCCCCCGGACCGCCTGCGCCGCTGAAACCGACCGCGGCGCTGAGATCACCCAATTCTTGTCCCACCACGACGCCAAAGTGCGAGAAGCCGTCGGGGCGCTCATCGGGTGTTTCGGAAGAGTCCAGTATAGAGTCGATTCTATCTATCTCGGGAAACCCTGAGCTCGAGGCAGACAGAAAACGGCGAAAACCAGAAAAAACCGACACCACGAAGTTCCCCAACAGCTCATTGTGGTGTGTGAGAGTTTCTGTCATTCCTTCGCGCAGGAGGGACCTCGGTCCAACGGAACGACGACCGGTCGGAATGGGCTCCATCGGACGTCCAACGGCCGCTCCGTCAGGCGGTGTGCGCCTTGAATGTGATCTCTCTGGAGACGCGAGGCCGAACCACGCAGCGAACGAGCATATGAGAGGTTCGGCAAAGAGGCAAAGAACCATTGGCTATTAGCTTCGCTTCAGGTTCTTTTAGTGGCTATTTCCGGGACTCTGGCCACCCTAGGACCTGACATGACCACAAACGTATGAATTGTCGACTGGGTTCATCTTGGGAGGACGTGGGGGTGCGGCCACTGTCAGCAGCTAATGCAACCCCGCAAGCAAAGTATTTTGGATCGGTGTTTGATTGTTTCGTGGATGTGCGGGGGTATGACACGGGCAGGTACAGGAGGTTTTTTCATCCATGCCAAAGAGCACATAAGATGGGTATGACGTTGACTGTCATAGCCTTCATCCATGAATAGCTTGGCCTAGAGATGCACAGGGAGGAAGGACCTCGGTGTGTTTCAGATCTTCGGAAGCGTTGTCTTGGCCCATGGCTCTCATGCGTCTTCCGCTCTCGGTGCATCGGAGTTCGAAGGGAACCCGAACCCAAACACGCTACGTTTCGACCGGGCTTGGCGGCCGCCAAATTGGGTGTGAAAGCGGTGAACCCCCACGGTTCGCCCGTCGAACCGAAGCACATTTGCTGACCCAAACGAAGGTGATGTTCCTAGTAGCGTCCTTGTTACTGGTGGCTGGTAGCGATGTCCTTGTTACTAGTAGCTTCTTGCTGCTAGTAGTAAAGCCAGGAGCCCCTAGTAGCGTCCGTGCTCCTAAGTGATGAACTTCTCCCAGAACGAAAAGTGGAGCACGTGCTCAAGGAAGCCCTGGTCAGCTGCCCAGGCGGCCGGAAGGTGTTTGGTTCTTGGGGACAAGACCACCACCCACAATCCAGAAGTTTGGGCCCTCTTCGCGGCTCGCGCGCTCGCTCTCTCTCTCTCTCTCTCTCTCTCTGCGCGCAGGGAAGAAAGACGTGTTGGAGCACTCCTTGGAAGCGATCGGCAGGCGGGGTGGCGGAAGGCAAAGCACACTCCGAAGGTGAGCTGAGTTGAGGTCATCCGAAGACACGGGTGATTTTATGAGAACGTACTATGCAGGAAGGATCACATCATATCCCAGGATTTTGTTCAGTGAGTCTTGGCTGTAGCTCTGCAATCTCCACAGTCCCACAGTGTTGTGTTCGAAGATGTTCGTAAAGGTGTTCCATATCAACATCATCTTAATTTAGATTTCAAGATCTTCCACATCCTTAGGTCCTTCCCCAGAAACTAGGACGCTATGAGGTGAAGTAGGTTGGAGGCCATCGCTACTAGTGACCGGAAGCTACTAGTAACAAGGGCCTCTTTTGTACCGAAACTCCTTCCACCCAAGCCGCGGCTCCCCACCACGAGCCCGAGGATCATCCACAGCGAGTCAGAAACCACCTACTTGTGAACTGGGCTGCATGACTTTGCGACCGCCTACCGTGATATATGACCCCAAGTGATAGGTGTTTGCGAAGTCCAAAGCTTCTTTTGGGAAAAAACAAAAAAAACAACCAACACAGGGAAAATCTCGGGGAAAATGGATCGTTCTTTCAACAGACGCGACGGTGGCGACGCGGTGGCGACGCGCAACCACATGGAGGTCCGTGCCCGACCGACGTGACGTGAGACCGAAGAGAAGCACCGAGGCACGAGACCTGTGTGCAGCTCTGCCGCTCCGCCGCTGAGTTGCCGGTCTGGCCAACCCGAGTGTCCGGGGAGGGGAGGAGGGGGAGGGGTCGATGGGGTTGGAAAGCCATTGGGTTGGAGGCCATCGCTAGTAGCACCAGCACCCGACTTCACAGATCACCACCTGCCACCTTTAAGTCGCCAAAAGCCACCAGAGGAGACCTGTTGGATGGTGCGGGCAGAGTGGGGTGGTTTTTTTTGATGGTTTGTTGAACAGATGCGACAGATGCTTGTTTGGAAGGACTGCGCAGAACACGTGTTGGCGGCAGGTGTGGGATCACCGGTCTGAACACTGCTGAACTCAGCGACCAGTGTGCACCTGCAGTCACCACAACAACAAGTGTCCAACTTGCCAACGTGCCCCCTTCTATCCAAGAATATCTTTATAAGATCAACAAACCTCATGAACAACCACGAATCCTTCTGCACCAAATGTGTGTGTGTCCACTCCTGTTTCCAAGGACACTACCCTAGGTTTTTAATCTATCCTACAAGCGTTTCTGTACAGAAGCAGGGGGTGGTAGCAAGGCAGAGAGTCTACCACCAACGAAGACGCTCTCTAAGCCTTGGTGATACTGGGACTGATCATCCCAGCGTACCTGCACAATTCAATTTTTAATCGTCATTTATTCGATGTTTCAACAATTCTGTTCGACCGACCCAGCACTTTCTTTTCAGTCAAGGTCTAATCTGCAGTAACTTTAAAGGGCTAATGCACACCGCGAAGCTACCTGAAATCACGCTCCATGGAGCAACCTTCTCAAGTGTGTCTTCGCAGCTTCTTCCCACTGTGGTGAGCTGTGTGATCCCTACGGGGCGCCGTTACTGCAAGAACCTGTTCACTCCTCACCGAGGGAGTAAGTTTCCTGAATTTTCTCTGAAGTCCCTTAGACTGAATTTGACTTGCTCGAAATCAGCTTGGATCGTCTCACCCAGCACACGTGAAGATTACTGCAGAGTTCACTGAAATCTTTCCTGAATCCCACTGCAGAGTTAACTGAAAGAGTTTCACCCGGGAAATCCATTCATACCTTTCCAATCTTTTTAACCTTTCAAATCTTTTTAACTTTCCAAGTTTTAATTCCATTTTCCAGAATTTTAATTGCGATTATTCAATACACTTCACGACTCCATGGACCTGTATTTATGTATTTATTTATTTTTGATACATCCCTACATATTTTCACTGTCTTTGACCTGCCGAGCAGCCATGACGTATCCCTGGCCCTATTCTTTGCCGCCACACATCCATCCACAACCACAACCTACACAACCTCATTGGATTCAATATCCACCACAGGCTTCACCACAACCTTTTTCAACACTGCCACCGACTCCACCGCAACACCCAACCTCACACCACTACCCAATGCCCCTTACACCTCCACCTCATGCTCAATTCATTCAATCACATCAACTTCAGGCACATTTTCCAGTGCAACCTACGGCTCCCTTTGACACTACCCAACTGGCACAACAACATCCACATCTCACAACTCAATCACCACAATCCCCAGCTCACACACATCTTACATTGCCACTTCAGTCCCAATCTCAATCTCAACCACCTCCTCATCAACTACATCAACCACATCTTCCACATCAACTACATCCATCACCACACACGACAAATCAAACCCCTGCCACAACATCTTTTCAACCACCACCACTACAAGCACCTGATGTACTACAAGCACCACCACCTGATCCAACAACAATCACTTCACAGCAGTTGACCACACCAACTCCACCACCACCACCTTACACCTCAACCACCTCACCAGCGACTTCTCAACCTGCTTCAGCAACCATCAACACACCCCCACAGCCACCACACCACATACCACGCACTTCCAAGCCAACACCATCCATCGCACCCACACTCAGCACTACAAGAGGCATTTGGCGCGACCCAGATCGCTCACCACCACGCACACCTGAACACCACCGCTACTCAGCCTTTCCAGCCGTACCTTCCATTGCACCATCACAAGCTACATCCAGATCCAGGAGCCGCACTCGGTCACTACGTACCACACGCTCTCCACTACCAAGACGTCGAAGCTCCGCCACACAATCCGTGGCTAGTTCTCAAGCTCAATCCAAACCTGCAGACAGACCAACATCACAATCACCAGCAATCACCCAAGACAAAGCTCACACTTCCATCCAAAACATCACGCCAGCTGCTACTGAGAAACACACTCCAGAGCCACCTCGCCGTGCTTCCAGCATTACACTCAAGCCCAACCCACATTTCACTCCCAAACACTCCACACAACAGACACCTCCACCACCACCACCAGCACCAATACCTGCAATTCCAGTCCAACGTCGACCTCACAACTTACCTCCTCCCACATTCCAACCACCCACAGATCCAGCACAATTGGAGGTCTTCCAATGGCTCAACCGCTACGCACAAGCACTTGATGTCAACAATGAACCCATGCTCTCCTACGTAGCCAAAGTGCTCAGTGCAGCTCATCTCAACAGCACCCACTTTACCGACCTACAACTTCTCACCCACAAAAAATGGTGCGATGACACCAACAAAGAAGAACATTTTTCCTTCCTACTACTCACAATCCCCACATTAGCGAGCAGGGGCGACGCCCCCATTCTTCCTCCTACACGGAGAGAGGCGCTGAACATACCACCTATCAAACACATTTTTGCGGCACACGTGAGCGAGGAGGGCAACATCATTTCAATACTTGAAGCAGGAGAAATCGTGCGATCTATTCTACATGATGCTCACAATGTGGGATATTTTTGTCAGGCGTTCGAATTGTCGAACTACGAGCCTCATGATGCTGCTGAAGCTGCACGCGTTCTCTTCAATGCTTCCAACATGGCCAAGAACCGCAGCGGTCTCATTCTGACGATCAAAGCCTATGGACACGGCCAGAAAGTCACCCATGGTGGCGAATCCGCAGCGAATGACTTGCTGCTCAGAGGAGAGGGGATTGTAAAATACACCCCAGGCAAATGCTGGGTGGCCCATCCCAAACATTCCAGAATCGAAGGGATAGCTTGGAAAAGCGATGCAAAGCCACCGCTCAGTTTCATTTAATTCAATCTATCCAGCTCACGAGGTTCATTTTTCACCCCGTATCTTGGATGACGACCTAGCCTCAAACAATCTCAGCCAGCCCGCTTGATATTGATATTGACTCTGATTTTCTCACACATCGTTGTCAACTTCCTTTTCTTCCGATATATCATTCTTGTACAGATTGATGCCGACAACATGATCTTTTTTACGGTGATTTTTCCAATTTTCCAGACTTGCAGCATGTCAACTTTCCTGGTTGTTATCAACCTTTTTGAAGAGAGTCACAAGCATTTCGAAGAGATTCGCAAGATTTCCTGTGATTTGCAACCTGCCCCGCAGCCATTCTGTATTATCTTGAATATCGAGCTCGATCCCTGACGACCAGCCGAGCTATATTTGCCTCTCGACGACTACAACGACGATGACTTCCCCTTTGGACACGGCATTTGCCCATCGGCTTCTCTTAGCACACCTTCAAGCAGCCACCTCCATTGCTACTACTTTTCAAAACCTTCCACCATTTACACCACAACTACCACAACAAGCACATCACCCACTCACTACCACTCCACCTTCCCCCCCAAGACCAGCCAGACACACTCCTCCTCCACTGCAACCACAGCCGTCTTTCTCACGCAGCCGCAGTCCGCCTCCCGCCAAAGGCAAACCATTCATGGAATGCAAACCAGAACCTTCTCCTTCACATACGCCCACTTCACCACATCAGTTTTCACCACACCGCCACAAGTCCAAAGCGACTCACCAACACAAGAACAATACAGACCTCCCGAAACAGCGTACACCACCAATCACAACGATTTCTCTTACCAGTTCGCCCAATTCACATCCACAAACATCACCAGTTCCACCGAATCCGCCACCTTTGCCACCCGCATCACCAGTACCACCATCCAAGCCAGCACACCTCCTCACGGATTCACCACACTATCCTGACAATGGAGGATGGGAACCCAGTGAAGATGAGAAACTTGCAGCCTTCAAACTCAACAAACGATCTCGCCCCAGTTGGAAATACATAGCAAAAGCACTCAACAAAACACCTTTTGACTGCAAAGGTCGATGGCAAGTATTGCGAATTCTTTATACACCTCAACAGCCAGACAGTCCAGAAGCAGAAGCATCATCACCACACAAGGCATCTCAACAAGCAGAGGCAACTCCTCCAGCCACAAAAGATGCCAGTACGATGACTACAGAACCTCCGGATCTGACCGACAAAGAGACATAGAATACACAACAGCAGTCTAAGATCGTCCAGACAGTGCTTTCCACGACTTCTTGGTGCTGAAGAACATCCCGAACTATTGATGCCTTTGTACGGTATTTTATTGTCAATTCGTACATATTTACATATTGGCTTATTGCTTTTTGTCGTTCTAGCAGTTGCGAGCAATAGACTCCAACCCACAACACACCATTACAGCTTTCTTCCACACGCGCAGCAAAAAACAAGATTGGTCGCCAGCAGTGCACTTTTTGCTTGAACACTTGCCACACACGACAAACTCTCGACCACTGAAGCATCGCCAATACTGTGTACAGACCAGTTTATTCCGTCTAATTCATCGTTTCATTGCATCCATGCGAATCACTATTGAATGGTCTCCCTATTGTTGAACAGGATGATTTTTTCGTTTCCTTGTTTTTCTTTTGGGTGATTTTGACCGCTTTTATGTCTCCAATTTGATGCATTTTGATGTACTTGCAGCTCGGCTAGTTCAACTTAGCTCAGCCTTCCATTCTTGTACAGTTTTTCTCTCGACGACGACATCGCGATGGATTCAGATCCTGTTGGGACAGACCTCGTGGCCTTGGACGCCCAGATCATTTCACAACTGCGAGATACAAACATTCAGATCAATCGGCTGATGGTCCTTCAACTTAATCGACTACATGACACTATTCGACAGCTACACTCAGCAGAATC